TGTAAACATCGCCACTCGGGAGACAAAGGCGGCCGAGCGTGGTGCTGGCCACCCACCCCCTCGTGTGCCACAGTACCGGTAGCCTTCATAGGTGCTGCTCGCTAACAGCACTTGCCCCAACAGTCTGCTCAGGCTACACGGGGGATCTTTGTCTTTGTCACGGGGGATAGTGTCTCTCTGTTTCATCATTCATTCTTACCTGCCGATGGCTGCTTGTATTGCAACCGAAACGTCGCATTTTATTAATGTTTGATTTTTAAATCCATTATATTAAGTTCGCTTGCTTGCTTAGGACCGTGCAAATCTTTCGGTCGTTTTTTAACTCACTTCCCGTGATCCAATCGAGCTGACATTTTGCACACAGACTCGTTGTGCGTGACAATTTCTTTTCGTGAAATTTTTTTTTTGTTAGGTAAAAAAATATAGATTTAATTACCAATTGCTTAATGGTGGCAGGCAATCATCTGACCCATAGGTGGCAGCCATCTCAAGCCAGAGGACGAGAGGACTCTAGCCGCCCGTTTCAAAGACCAATGTGGGCTGGGTTGTGGCCCATTGAACACGCATATAAAGGATTTATAGTGAAAAACTTTGTTTATACGGGTTAATTTTTTTTTATTTTCCACGCGGCTTTACCGACAGAACCAACGAGTAATTCATGCCGCCACGAAATCTTCGAATCTCGTTTAATAATAACAATTAACGATGATGATGATGATCACGATCAAACGGAGCGTATTTTCATCAACGATCTCAAAGCGCTGTACATGACACAGCATCAGACACTCAGCAATATAATAATAACAACGATGATATGAATACTTTTATAAATAATCCATTGACGCAGTGAACTAGAAGTCTAATAAGCGAATACACAGGCTTAACACGTAGGCTTGCGCGACCAACATCATCCGTAATAGAGGTTTGTTTTGGGTTAGATCGCGTCAAATATAGAAATGTGTATAGTGTAGTGTATAGTGTAATGTATAGTAGTGTGTAGTGTAGTGTATAGTGTAGTGTATAGTAGTGTATATTAGTGTAGTGCATAGTAGTGTGTAGGAGTGTAGTGTATAGTAGTGTATAGTGTCGTGTATCGTGTAGTGTATAGTAGTGTATAGTAGTGTATAGTGTAGTGTATAGTGTAGTATATAGTAGTGTATATTAGTGTAGTGTATAGTAGTGTATAGTAGTGTATAGTGTAGTGTATAGTTATAGCAGTGTAGTGTATAGTGTAGTGTATAGTAGTGTAGTGTATAATGTAGTGTATAGTAGTGTAGTGTATAGTGTAGTGTATTGTGTAGTGTAGTATATAGTGTAGTGTATAGAAGTGTAGTGTATAGTGTAGTGTATTGTGTAGTGTAGTGTATAGTAGTGTAGTGTATAATGTAGTGTATAGTAGTGTAGTGTATAGTAGTGTATAATGTAGTTTATAGTAGTGTAGTGTATAGTGTATAGTAGTGTAGTGTATAGTGAAGTGTATAGTAGTGTATGTTAGTGTAGTGTACAGTAGTGTATAGTAGTATATAGTGTAGTGTATGGTAGTGTATAGTAGTGTATAGTGTAGTGCATAGTAGTGTATAGTAGTATATAGTGTAGTGTATGGTAGTGTATAGTAGTGTATAGTGTAGTGTATAGTAGTGTATAGTAGTATATAGTGTAGTGTATAGTAGTGTATGGTAGTGTATAGTGTAGTGTATAGTGTAGTGTATAGTATAGTGTATAGTGTAGTGTATAGTAGTGTAGTGTAGTGTATAGTGTAGTGTATAGTAGTGTGTAGTGTAGTGTATAGTAGTGTATAGTAGTATATAGTGTAGTGTATAGTAGTGTATAGTAGTGTATAGTGTAGTGTATAGTAGTGTATAGTGTAGTGTATAGTATAGTGTAGTGTATAGTAGTGTAGTGTATAGTGTAGTGTATAGTAGTGTAGTGTATAGTGTAGTGTATAGTAGTGTAGTGTGTAGTGTATAGTAGTGTAATGTATAGTAGTGTATAATGTAGTTTATAGTAGTGTAGTGTATAGTGTATAGTAGTGTAGTGTATAGTAGTGAATAGTGTAGTGTATAGTAGTGTATAGTATAGTGTATAGTGTAGTGTATAGTAGTGTAATGTATAGTAGTGTAGTGTATGGTGTAGTGTATAGTAGCGTAGTGTATAGTGTAGTGTATAGTAGTGTAGTGTATAGTGTAGTGTATAGTAGTGTAGTGTATAGTAGTGTAGTGTATAGCAGAGGTGTGGACTCGAGTCATGTGATTTGGACTCGAGTCAGACTCGAGTCATGAATTTGATGACTTCAGACTCGACTTGGACTTGCATGAGAATGACTTTGTCCCACCTCTGAGGTGTGGACTCGAGTCATGTGACTTGGACTCGAGTCAGACTCGAGTCATGAATTTGATGACTTCAGACTCGACTTGGACTTGCATGACAATGACTTTGTCCCACCTCTGGTGTATAGTGTAGTGTATAGTAGTGTAGTGTATAGTAGTGTAGTGTATAGTGTAGTGTATAGTAGTGCTAAGAAAGTGTCAGATGGCGACAGTCTGAGAAGTGAAATTAAACATGTTCAAGAAGCTCTGCAATTGACCGGTTACAATGATGCATATGTCAACAAGGCACTGAATTCTAAAAACCAAATCAAATAACACGAGGATTGAAAATGCTCAAGTAATTAAAACTATTAAAATACCGTACATTGCCGGAGTAACCGATAAACTAGCCAGATGTTTGGAAAAAGAAAACATCCGAGTCAGATTTGGCACGGTACATAAAATACAGAAATGTATGTCTGGTACGGAAGATGCATTTGCCGAAGCTATCAAGATTTGTGGCAAATGCTGTGTTGGGCAAACAGGACTACGAATGATCAGCACGAGGTTAAAAGAACACCACAGAAATATAAAATACTCCCAAATACAACTGGCGGCAGTGGCAGAACGAGCGCGCCAACAATGAGACTCATTTGATTTTGACAATGTTGAAGTTCTGTGCAAAACTAGTTACGACTGGCCAAGACTAGTTATATAATCTATCGCAATTGAGAGAAATAAAAATAATTTTAACCGTTCGGATAGCTACAAACTTAGTGCTACCTGGAAGCGAATCGTCAAGTAACACTTTAAATGCATGCCTATGAAGGTCACCATTCTTCAATAGGGACTACCGTTGAACTATAACAGGCACGTCTCTGGTAGCTACATAATATTAACAGCTACATACTATTAACATTCCTTCCGTTTATTAATGTTACCCCTATCCCCTCCCTTTGATGCTGCTAATCCTGCATAATACACGGGAATAATGACTTTAAACCCCCCGCCAAACCTCCTACGCATTTCACAATTAGTACTAATCGCATATCTGCATTTCCCATAAATATGCTAAATTCCTCTTGATATGCAAATTCTTTTGTCAAGGCGCTCTTCCCCCTCCATCCCAGCTTAGATAGTCGCTCCAAGCCTGGGGTGTGTCATTCAGACGCTGTCTTCTCGACAGACCTGTTCTACACCTGAGGACGGCTGCTTGCGTTGTGGCCGAAACGTCGTGAGAATTATTTTATTATGTTTTATTTTTATTATTTTATTATTATTTCCATTCTACATGACTTTACCGAAAGAACCAAGAAGAAGGCACGGCTGTTTTAGTGCAACACACTCGACAGGAGGTACAGGAACAATGGGCTTGCATAACGCGCATGCACAACGTATGTTGATTCCCATATAAATAACCCAAACGGCAATGGATACCCTACCCAGGAACAAACATCGAGTTACATCGTGGATTACACTGGTCAACAAAAATAAATCATTTTTTTTCTGGCCTGGACTTTTGCAGCTGTTTTAGACTAATTTCAGGTTGCTGATTCCAAATCTGATCTCAGATTTGCTCTATGATATCTCATTTTTATGCTATCGGCATACCCCATTTTCTTTGACTTTACCCGAAATTAACTCTGCCACTTATGATTGCAAGTTGTTGCGAGTCAGTGACTGCTTTAGTGTTAAAATATGGTGCTGTATTTTTAGGATAGTGTATTTCTAATATAATTTTATGTAGATATCCACATTTATTTAATATTTTTCTTCTGCAGTTTTTGTTGAAAATGCAAGATTTGATATCTCAAAAACCTGATGCGATGGACAAAAACTGATTCCAGATTTGGAATCAGCACCCCAAAATTACCTTAAAACCGTTGGAAGTGCTCAAGTGACGCCATCACATCTGCCCTTCTATTTAAGGAACAAAACGGGAGGATTTCCGAACAAATCTGGCTGTCGCCTGATGAAGCTGGTTGTGATTACTGGCGAAACGTCGTGCTCAGATTGTGAATGTTGTTGCTTGGCTCTCCAACACACCGGTGTGCTGTGCGTGATGCAATCCAGGTTAAAAACCACAGCACTACACTATACACTACACTATACACTACACTATACACTATACACTACACTATACACTACAACACTACACCATACACTACAACACTACACTATACACAACAATACTACACTATACACTACAACACTATACACTACAATACTACACTATACACTACAACACTATACACTACAATACTACACTATACACTACAACACTATACACTATACACTACAACACTACACTATACACTACAACACTACACTATACACTACAACACTACACTATACACTACACTATACACTACACTATACACTACACTATACACTACTATACACTACACTGTACACTACACTGTACACTACTATACACTACACTATACACTACACTATACACTACTATACACTACACTATTCACCACTAGGCAATACACTATACACTACTATACACTATACAATACACTACTATACACTACACTAAACACTACATTATATACTACACAACTCCTCTAACCATTCACCCCCTTTCCCACCCCGTCCACCCACCGACCCCGCCTCACAGAGGACCTGGGGACGAACGAAATCGAACACACGCGACAAACGCAGACGTACACGCGCTCGCGCAGAACAATGGTGGCACCAAACTCCACCTCCCTCCGTGAGCCCCTCAACGCGACCGCTTGGGATCCTGCCGGCCTGACCGCGTGGGAGTCTCCCTGGGCTCCCGTCTTCATGTCTAGCCCCTTCCGCGAGCCGCCCTCCCTCCGCCCGCTCTACGTCGCCCTCTTCGCCGTCACCTACGCCGCCATCGTCGCTGGCAACTCCCTCCTCGTGGCGGCCATCTTCCTCGACCGCCGCCTCCACAGGCCGATGTTCGTCCTCCTCGCCAACCTCGCCGCCTGCGACCTCCTGGGCAGCACGGCGACCCTGCCCGGCTACGCGCGCAACGTGGCTAGCGCCGACGGCGTGCCGCTGGGCACGTGCGTCGCTCAGATGTACGTGGCGCACATCTACGGCGCGCTCGCGGGCCTCTCCCTCGCCTCGATGGCCGTGGACCGCGCCCTCGCCGTCCGCCGACCCCTCCGCTACGCGTCCATCGTCACCAACGGGCGCGCCCTGGCCGCGTGCGCCGTCGTCGACGGCGTCGCCGCCGCCTTGATGCTCGGCTTCGTGGCGCTCGCCTCGCGCCTCCGGCTGTGCGGGGAGCGCCACGTCGCGATGCCGCACTGCGACCACTTCGCCCTCGTGCGGATGGCGTGCGACGCCGCCGGCGACGCGGCGGCCAACCGGGCCTACGACCTCGCCGTCAAGTCCACGCTGCTTGCCGGGGGCGCGGCCACGGTTCTGGCGTCGTACGCGCTCGTCGCGACGCTCCGTCTCGGCGGCGGCGGGGACGGGGACGGGGCGTCGCGGCGGAGCCGGGGAAAGGCTCTGCGCACGTGCGTCACCCACCTCATGGTGTTTCTCGTGCTGCAGGTGTCCGTCGTGCTGCTCATCGCGCAGAACCACATCCAGAGGTACTTGGTCGACTCCGTCTACCTGCCCGCCTACCTAGCCATCAACTTCCACGTGGTGCCGCCGCTCCTCAACCCCATCATCTACGGACTGAGGACCGTGGAGATACAGCACGGCGTCCGGAAGCTCTTCCGGAGGAAGGTGTTGCCCGCCTATCATTAAGGAGGGAGGGGGGGGGGCGACCCCCCCCTTGCCCTCACCCCACCCCCCTCCCAGAGGTCGCAACCGGGTACTCGATACCCGTACCCTACCCGATACCCGGCTACTCGTACTCAGCCGGGTACGGGTAGCCGTTTGCGACCCTGGTGCGGCCGGGTACGGGTAGGCCGTGAGTCACTGGTGAGTCACTGTTTGTCACTCATTTCGGGTAGGGTACGGGTACGGGTAGGGAACAGGTACCCGTACCCGGCTGGGTATGGGTACGGGTACCCATTTGCGACCCTGGTGCGGCCGGGTACGGGTAAGGAATCAAAAGCCGTTTGCGACCTCTGCCCCCTCCCCACTACCGCCCTCCCCCCCAACCCCGAATCAGAAATTGTATTTATACAATTTCTAAATGATGACGTCACCCTGATGCTGCTCTATTTAAGACCAGAAGCAACAGGAGAGCTTCACCATTCTTGCCCGATGAAGCTGATTGTAACTATCAGCGAAACGTCGTGCTACTCAAATTTTAAAATGCTGTTGATTCTCTCTTCAGCACACAGGTGGGCTAAAGAAGTGAATTGTTTTGTCCTTTGAAAAACGTGACACATTTTTTACTATTTGGCCGTGTCGGGTGGTGGAGGGTTATGACACATTTATAAATAACGCGATCTGACCCAAAACCTATATTATGAATAATATTGGTTGCGAAAGCCTGCCACGTGTTAAATTGTATTTATACTGCAGGAGGAATCCGATGAGCCACAAAGCTCTTCTGTCAGAGATGTTCGGGTAGGGGCACGGGGTAAGAACATTACAACAACAACAACAAACGCAGGTACACAGACACGATAGGAGTTCAAAGTACAAGGAAGGTCAACACAATCACCCGGACGCATACGTAGAGACAGTGAGTGTGTGGAGACGGTGCGGGTGCAGGAACAGTATGTGACCCTCTTCTTGGCTCTTTCGGTAAAGTCACGTAGAAGGGAAATAATAAAATAATACAAATATAACATAATAAAATACAATTCTCACGACGTTTCGGCCACAACGCAAGCAGCCGTCCTCAGGTGAAGAACAGGTCTGTCGAGAAGACAGCGTCTGAATGAAACACCCAGGCTTGGAGCGTATATTTAAGCTGGGTTGGAGGGGGAAGAGCGCCTTGACAAAAGAATTTGCATCTCAAGTGGAATTTAGCATATTTATGGGAAATGCAGATATGGGATTAGTACGTGACCCAGCGGTCAAGAGGGGTAACCACGGAAGCGTGACCATCTGGGAAGTTCGGCAAGGGGCTAGAGGTTTTGAGAAAGGGAGCGTGACTGGGGGCAGAGTTAGTGCCACGCTGAGAATAAAAAGGAGTGAGAGGCGAGGTTCGGGGCTGCCGTGGGATTGGGGTCGACTGTCTTCACGCTGATAATTGTTTTTTTACCCTTTTATCTGGCAACAAAACTGATACCTTTTATTAACAAGGAGTCATCTTCTTGTTTCTTTCGGTAAAGTCACGTAGAAGGGACTTTACCGAAAGAAACAAGAAGATGAATCCCTGCAGTCACGAAAGCTTTAAATCGAAATTTAACAAGGAGTCGTTGTTTGCAGTGACCACAATGCCTGCGGTCGAAATGCAAACAAAAAACAAACAACTCTGATAATGTATGCACTGTCCTTGAGATTGATTGGTCCACAGCCGAGACAGCTTTTCTTAGAGCCTAGTCTCACATGGTGTTGGACCAGATGACGCGAAAAGGCGTACAACTCAAAAACAGCGCACTATCAGAGTATTGAGAGCTCGGGGTGAAGCATTTACACTATGAGACATCTCCTTTACCAGTGGCAAAATATAGTAATAGGTTTTTACCCTTTCAACTGGTACAAAAACTGACACCTTTATACAAGGCATCATGTTTTCAATAACCACAACACAAGCAGTCAAAATGCAAACAAAAAGCAACAACTCTGATGATGATAATGATATGCACTGTCCTTGAAGTTGATTGGTCCACACCCGAGACAGCTTATCTTAGAGCCTCGTCTCACATGGTGTTGGACCAGATGACGCTGTCGATGACTTCGCGACGTCGCTGTCTTTGCATCGTCGCTGCTTGCGTGCCATCTCTGGTCCAAGTTATCTGCGCCGTTATCCCTGGCCCAAGTGATCCGTGCGTTATCCCTGTCCAAGTTCAAGTTATATGCGCGAAACGCCCTACATAATGAGTAAAGAAACCTCTACAGTACAAGTTGTCTGAGAGCCACTGCACACACACAACGCAACACTAAACCATCGGCCCCATCCTACCAGCGCAAAACCCCACCGAGGGTATTAACTTTTGGTACCCCTATCACTACCCCTATCGCTACCCCGACGACTATCACTACACCAACCAACCCCTATCACTACCCTGACCACTACCGCTATCACTACCCCTATCGCTACCCCTATCACTACCCCTATCACTAGTCCTATCGCTACCACTACCCAAACCCTATCACTACCTTTATCACTACCCCTATCACTACCCTGACCACTATCACTACACCAACCCCTATCATTACCCGGACCACTACCCCTATCACTACCCGTATCGCTACCCCTATCACTACCCCTATCACTACCCCTATCACTAGTCCTATCGCTATCCTTACCCCAACCCCTATCACTACGTTTATCACTACCCCTATCACTACCCCGACCACTATCACTACACCAACCCCTATCACTACCCGACCACTATCACTACACCAACCCCTATCACTACCCGGACCACTACCCCTATCACTACCCCTATCGCTACCCCTATCACTACCCCTATCACTACCCCTATCTCAACCACTATCACTACCCGGACCACTACCCCTATCACTACCCCTATCGCTACCCCTATCACTAGTCCTATCGCTACCCCTACCCCAACCCCTATCACTACCTTTATCACTACCCCTATCACTACCCCTACCACTACCCCTGTCACTACCCCTATCACTACCCCTACTGCTACCCCTATCGCTACCCCTATCACTACCCCTATCACTACCCCTATCACTACCCCTACCACTACCCCTATTACTACACCAACCCCTATCACTACCCCTATCACTACCCCTATCTCAACCACTATCACTACCCCTATCGCTACCCCTATCGCTACCCCTATCGCTACCCCTATCGCTACCCCTATCACTACCCCTATCACTACACCAACCCCTATCACTACCCCTATCACTACTCCTATCTCAACCACTATCACTACCCCTATCGCTACCCCTATCACTACCCCTTACACTACACCAACCCCTATCACTACCCCTATCACTACTCCTATCACTACTCCTATCTCAACCACTATCGCTACCCCTATCGCTACCCCTATCACTACGCCTATGATGATTGCGGTAATCCTCGTCGTCAATGAGACATCTTCATCAGCATCATCATCATTGCCAATACATCATCATCAATACATGCATTAATATCGTCTACATGATGACCGTTAACCCAAGACATCATCATCACTGTCAATATACAACATCATCAATAAATATACCAAACTCGTCGACATGATGACCATCAACCCAATACATCACCATCATCATTGTCAAGAGAACATCAACATCATCATCACGGATTTAATCAGAGGTACACCATCACCATCAGGATCAATATGGGACACGGCTATCATCGGCATAACGTGCATCGTCATCATCAGCTAGTAATAATTTGAACACGTAGGCTGTCGCGATGAATATCGTACATTAGGTTAGATCCTGTAAGTGTAAACGACACAGCCAATTAGTAAAAGGTTTATCATGTAAACAGAACGTGGCCAATTTGTTACTAGTACAGCACTAGCCGGTTGCTGTGTGTTGGAGAGTTAAACCCACTACAACATTTACAATTCGTTACTAGTACAGCACTAACCGGTAGCTGTGTGTTGGAGAGTTAAACCCACTACAACATTGACAATTCGTTACTAGTGTAATGCGGGCGTAAATGGGCGGGGCGGATATGACGATCCGAGAGGGAGGAGTCAGGGTCACGTGGGGGATAAGTTATAGCGGGGAGACAGGAAGCCATCTGGGTCAGTCGGGGGAGTGAAGGGTGGTGAACACGTTGGGTGGTCGCCGTGCCTCAGCCTGGTGGCTGAGGGGCTCATGACGGCGCCAGCCAGCGGGGTGGAAGAGAGAGTTGGGGATAGAGACAGAGAGTGGCGAGATAGCCACAGAGGCCACGCTGGGCTGAGGTTAGAGATGGCGAGATAGCCACAGAGGCCACGGAGGGCTGAGATAGGGGAGTGGCGAGATCGCCACACACGGTAAGACTCGGCACCGCCGGCCAGCGGTGACCGAGCACGGAGGAACAGGGAGCAGCGGTGGAGCTGCTGTGAGAGCAGCCGGAGGGCTGCACCAAGAGCCTGCAGCGGAGCTGCAGGAGCGCGGAAGGCTACGGGAGCGAAGGCAGATGTGGGGCTGCCAGGGAGAGAGTCTCAGGAGGAGTGCCGTGAGGGAAAGAGAACGCGAACCCAAATAAAGGACACGGAGTCAGAGAGAAGCGTCCGAGTCTTTTATTACACTAGTACAGCACTAACCGGTTGTGTTGGAGAGTTAAACCCACTACAACATTTACAATTCGTTACTAGTACAGCACTAACCGGTTGCTGTGTGTTGGAGAGTTAAACCCACTACAACATTTACAATTCGTTACTAGTACAGCACTAACTGGTTGCTCTGTGTTGGAGAGTTAAACCCACTACTACATTGACAATTCGTTACTAGTACAGCATTAACCGGTTGTGTTGGAGAGTTAAACCCACTACGACATTTACAATTCGTTACTAGTACAGCACTAACCGGTTGCTGTGTGTTGGAGAGTTAAACCCACTACGACATTTACAATTCGTTACTAGTACAGCACTAACCGGTTGCTGTGTGTTGAGTTAAACCCATTACAACATCTACAATTCGTTACTAGTACAGCACTGACCGGTTGCTGTGTGTTGGAGAGTTAAACCCACTACAAC